TTGACTAATCTCCAAAAATGTGGACAATCACAGGAAACCTCAAAAGCCCTCTATATATGAAAAGATGTCAAATCTGTTTTGCACTTCTCTTAGCACCTTTCATCCAAAACTTGTAGTTTTGCAAACATGGAGTTAAGAATTGTCGTGGCAGTCGAAGGGAAGAATTATCCTTACTGTATTTAAGAGAGAGAATTTGAAAGACAGTAAAATTATGAAGCAAATACCAATTCTCATTCAGACAAGGCTCTTAGTGGCTTGAGGACTCTGTCTCCAATGGAGATATCCAAATACATACAATCAAATCAGTTAGCCAGGAATTAAAATCAGAGTTCCTCACTCTCTTTTTATCTGCCTTTTAACCACTAAAATGTACAACAGCTCAAGATTTTCCACCTGTCAGCCTCACTTTTTCTTCCAGAAGAAATGGATACTACATCCTGTTTCTCCTGTGAAATAAAATTAGAGTCATCATATATTCATAGTTAAGTATACTCCAGGTGGGCAGGAGATTCTATTATAACGAGGGAAAGCTATCTGTAGCTGATCATAGGGGGTTTTTTTATCTATAAAAGATACAGCCGAACCATCAAAGAGAGAAAAACTTCCTGCATTTCCACATCACGAGAAAAATGTAACGGAATTCATCCTCAAACCCATGAAAACACACATTCCTTCTGTAGGAAGAACGAATCCTGAGGAATGTAGTGTTGCATGTGTCGGGGAAATGTTTCATTTACATCTCTAAGCCAAATTCTACTCTCAGTCTTATTGACTCTTGACTGAATTTGACCTCTCTGATTCGCTAGCACATTTTTTAAACTTAGTATAATTGATGGCAGAGTATGGCCCTGGGGCTATTTGTCTATCAGCAGATCATGGTATAGTTGTAAAGAATATCAACAGCATTAAGAAGTGGAGAAACTAGTCCCCACAACTTTGAAGCACCAGTGCTTTGAGACTGTTTCAGGTTACTGGAGCTAAGATAAGAGTACAGGTTCACCTTTGATCAACATATCTCATAGGGTTTTCCTAAAATTTGCTACTTTAGGGACAGATCCCACTCTACTGCACAGCAGATAAAAATCTTTCTGTAGATTTTATGAGACATTTAGGTTGAATTGCACGTTTGCTAAATTAATCTCATTCAGCACTGGAATAGAGAATGCATACACTCCTTATCTCTTGTGCAGATGCTATATTGGCAAAAGTTAGTAAAATTGTGCTTGCAAACTTATCCACAAAACATATGGAGTTGAGGGTTCCTGGGAGGAAGTGAAATCCAGGATAAAGAAGTGCACAGGCCAAACACTGATACACCAAGTTGCACCAAGAAGGATTAGCCCCGAAGATCTGCAATACTTAGAGTAAGCAGATGGGAAATTTGAAGAGTTTTATTAGCCTCTATTGATAAAGGAAGAAAGAAGAAAAAAATCACAAGCTGTAGAGTATGTTTTCTCAGGCCATGGTTGTTAGAATGGCTCATTTCATAGAATCACAGAATCATAGAATGTTTTGGGTTGGAAGGGACCTTAAAGATCACCTAGTTCCAATCCCCCTGCCATGGTCAGGGACACCTGCCACCAGGTTGCTCAAAGCCTCATCCAGTCTGGCCTTGAACACCTCCAGGGATGGGGCAGCCACAACTCCTCTAGGCAACCTCTACCAGTGCCTGACCACCCTCAGAGTGAAGAATTTCTTCCTTATCTCTAATTGAAATCTATCCTCTTTCAGTTTAAAGCCATTGCTCCTTGTCCTATCACTACATGCCATTGTCAAAAGTCCCTCTCCAGCTTTCTTGTAGGCCCCTTTAGGTACTGGAAGGCTGCTACAAGGTCTTCCCAGAGCCTTATTTTCTCCAGGCTGAACAAGTCCAACTGTCTCAGCATGACTTCATAGCAGAGGTGCTCCAGCCCTCAGATCATCTATGTGGCCCTCCTTTGGACCTGTTCCAACAGGTCTATGTCCTTCTTATGTTGGAGGCCCCAGAGCTGAATGCAGCATCATACAGTATTTCATACAGTATTTCGTACAGTATCTCTACAGAACACAGGTAAGAAAGAGACAAACTGTGAATTCAAGCAAAATTCAAGTGCTTTCTCACCTGTTCAGGGTAATCTGGCCTTTAATGGAATACGCCCTTAGAAAATAGGTAGTGAGGCTTTCTTGTTTACCAAGAGTGTCTATCCTCACAATGCTTTGGGAAGTCTGGAGGTGAAAAGGTATGACCTGTAGAGAGAGTATGAGCTTTCATAATGGGCTTACCGGGCTCTGTATAGACACTTGGCTTTGCACTGATCTTTTGGTTTCCCAGAGCAGGCCTGGCCATGGATTGGGTGTTCAAATAGCATTGCCTACTCACGCTCCTTTGGCCACCAAGAGGGGATCTACAACCCCCTGCCCCTCTGTGCCTGGCAAACTAATATGCTTCAATGCTACTGTAATCCTGTAAGATCAAGCGCATTTGCTTTGTAGTGCTCCCCAGTCATTTCTGTTACAAAAATACTTTCCGTGCTGACATATGGTGCATGGGCAAAGAAGTTCATCCGAACCAGGACATTTCAGATGACAGTTCACATCTCACCTTTAGCTCAAGCTGCTGTGCAGGGAACTCTCTGGCAGCCTGAGAAAGGGAGCTGTACTACATGGTTTGCTCAGCAGTATTGGCAGATCCTGCGCAAAACGTTAGGCTTCACTGGCATCTGCCATGGCATAGTTAAGTCTTTTTAAATCACTTTAATCAGTTTTCTCTTTGAGATTTTAGTTTGCTGGGTTTTTTTTGGTGACAGATTCACTTTTCTTCTCTCATCAGAGCCATGCTAGTCAGAGATAGACATGGAGCTTAAAGTATTTTTCCTTAACGTCAAGTTAGGGGTGCTTGAACTGGCGACATGTGCTCACCTAAAAATTGAGGTCTATTTCTATTCTGGAAAGCTCAATTTCAGGCAGCTTTTTCACAAGTGCAGCTCCCAACATCCCATAGTCTCCCAGCTATGTGTTTAAACACTTTACTGACTTTGGGCCTTGGAGACCAGGGATAAATTCCAAATTTGAGGATGTCTCAACTTAAATTTTGAACATCCTGCAGATTGCAGTTCTTGGATTTCATTATAAATGGCAAAATTCAGGATAATGACAACGTTGGTGCGTGCATCTCAGCTGACTCACAGCTTTGCTCCGCATTTGGACTTTTGATTCAAGCACCATCTCTAATTATAATGTCACAGGGACTGACCAAGCGCGGTACCTCTGTCTGACATTGTACACAGTGTGTCGGATGGTGTGTTTTGTTCCAAATCTCTGCTGCTATTACACTGAAAGCATTAGCTGTAGAGCGAGCTATGCAGGGATGATTTGGGGTTCTTGCAGTCATTTCTGAAAGTGTATCCACTTTCCCAATGCCCAGAGAGGCTGAGCGGTGATATTGTCTTGAAATGGGCTCCCTCTCTCTGTGACAATATAATTGATGTATCTGGAACTGATGTATGGATGAACACAGGGTGGTTTTTTGTTGGTTTGCTTTTCGTTGTGGTTGTTTGGTTTTTTTCATTGGAAGACTTAATTCTTTCCCTTTGAATATGGGATCCTGCATGAGTTTGCCCATTGAGTCACTTGAGGACTTCAGCAGGTGCGCCTTGACTCTTCCGCATCATCGCTTCGCCAGCCTGTCTCTTCTTGCATTCCTGGTGGCGTCAGGGCTCCTTCTGACCTTGATGTCCTAATAGTCCTGGGCTAGCATGGGCTAACCAGCTGTCTGTGCTCCTGACTCACAGTCCTTTTTAAAGAAAAAATGCCGTCTTTTTACAGCTCAGTTTCTTTCCATAAAGTTGATCAAGCAGCCTTCTTTTTACAAGGCAGTTGATCCTTTGTTCTTTCTTCGTCTTGGCATGCTGAAGACTCCCAATGCTGCTGGAATCTTCCTCCCTCCCCTTTTTAAGACAGTCCCATACATAAAGCAAGCAGCTCCCCCAGGAAAGAGAGAAGTTTCTTGGCATGACAAGGTGCCTGTATTGTGTCCTTAGAAACTTCTTCTTTCTGTTAAGATACATTATTGCAGATATCTGTGTATTTCTATTAGACATGAGTGCAATCTATGAGACTGGATCCAAACTTAGTCAAACAATGAGGTTCTTTAAAGACAGGATTACGATCTCGATGTGTGCTTTTTGGCTTAAGCTGCTCTCCTGTTTGCACAGCATAACACAAAAAGCATCACTATGCTGTTGGGAAAGCTGCTGACACAACTAAGAAACCGAGTGGTAAGGGCTTGTCATCAAAATCAACAAACCTGAAGGCAAACGGGAACCTGGTGGCATGAGTAATTGTGACCCTCTTGCCCAGCCACACAGAGCAAACTTTCTCTTCTCAATAATCGCAAGGTTTTATGAAAAAAAAAATCAATTGCAGATGAAGCACAGAGCAAAATTTCCCTGCAGCCCTCTTACTGGGGAAAAAGAAAAAAATCTCCTTCTTTAGACTTAGTCTGTGTACAACTTTGCTGTGTGCTGAGCTGCAAACGGTGGCCTCTCATTTCATTAATTGACAAACACCATACTCTAAACATTTCCAGGCACAGTCATTTTCTTTTCTCAGGTTTACTCAGTGGTTCTTACTGAGGTTTACATTTTTCCACGCATGTGCTGAGAATAAACTTCCCTCTACAATCTCATCTCTTGTGCTATGAGAAGTTTTGATAATGAAATTCATAAGCAACTTCATTTTCTGGGTCTTTCTCTTTTTGCAACTATCCTGGCTTTGGCTATTTACTCCACTCTTTGCAGCAAACTGCCGTATTTCTCAAATACCACAGGACTTTCTCAACTGCAGCATTTCATTCAATTTCTGTCTCTTTTTAAGGGGTTGATCTGTCTTAAAGAGATTTTTCTCATTTAAAAATAATTTTGCTGTGGTTTTACAGTCAGCATGTTTCCCCCAAAAAATAAATAAAAAAAAAATCCCTGCAGGCCTATTTCTTCTCCTTCTCTCATCATTATGCTAGCATAATGACGCTGATGTCAATGGAATTATTCCTCTTTTACACTGGTAAGTATGAGACCAAGGTCTGTAGGATGGGACATACTAAACACCTTCACAAAGTCATATTGGGGACAGGACCAGAAAGGTATTTCCATATACCAAAAGGGATCTCATAGTGTTCTTTCATCTTCAATTTCTCAAACAGAAGAATATAGTCATCCACCAGCAGAACGCAACCACCCCCAGGCTGAAATCCAGCAATATGTTTAACGTGGAGAACAGGGCAAAAGCAGCACAACATGGCCCTTTAGGAATGTAAGCAAGGAATACAGTGTCCAGCTGAAATTAGTGTTACTATTTGCCTCATGGAAATGCTTGGGAAGCTCAGCCAAATTCAGGACTCCAGTCTACTAGAGCAGCCACAGTGAGGGCAGTCTCTGTTCCCCAGCGCTTGGAGTCCCAGTGACAAATAGCAATCAGACAGCGCGCCAGCAAGAAGTTGAGCCAGGCAGAACTAAAATATCCCTGTTGGAGTGCGGTCCCATGAGGCTAGTGTTATGTCTTACCAGAAACAAAGAGAAGAGCACATTTCCAGTCTCAAAGACTTCTCTGTCCCACTAAGGAGAACTCCAGACTACAATTAGAAAAAAAACAAGAAAAAGAGACACAGCCACAGCGCGCCAGTTTGCATCCAAAATACGACCTAAAAAAAGAAGGCTTACTCCCAGGAGAAGGCTGCGAGCACCCTCTTGGGCTGGCAGCTCCAGCTACCTTGCTCGAGAGGGTGGGAACGTGACCCTGGAGAGAGACCATCCCTCTCCCTAACCCAGAGCTGCTGGGTAAATATTGACTCAGAGCAAGGAGGGGCTGAATCACTCCTTCCTGCCCTGCCGAGGTGTCTCCTTCCACCCAGTGAGCCTCCAAGCCCACCCTGCACAGCTCGAAACATCAGACGTGAGTTGGTACCCATGGTGATCAAAGGACAGGGACTCAGACAGAAAGACAGGAGTGCCTCTGTTTGTGAACGGCTGACGTGTTTGTTTGCTCTCCACGTGGGCGAACGTCTCCTACAGTTCGTTATTCAGGAGGACACGTGGTGGGAAAGGTGGGTAGGTGGAGGGATGAGGGACTGGGGAGCTCCTAGTGTGGGTCTTCCATCCTTGTCACCTGCATCACACCCCAAATTCTCTGACTGCTGGTACACAGCTGATAAAGGTGTTGTGCCATACACAGTTAATGGTAAAGCAAGGGCCTGGGTTCATTAAATCTCTGCCCCAAGATGCATTGAAGCAATAGTGAATTTGTGAGAAAGGGTAGGAAAAGGTCCAACTGTTTCAGTTGTCCAACAGTTGCAAGCTCAGGATTCAACTATAGGGTGAAAAGATCTGGGTCATATTCCTAGATTTTTTAAGTTCATATTTTAAGGGTGTTAAAGCAAAGCATGGGGCAGACCTGGGAGCCAAGTGGTGGTGACCACTGACTGGAACTGTGAGTGGGTGTCATGAATATTTGGGTGGCTACTGGCTTGTGTAATCAAACTGGATGTAGAGGAAGGCTGAGTTCATTGTTGCAAGGACAGGTCTGGGTTTCATTTCAAGTCTGCTACAGATTTCCTAACTGGGTCACCATGCCAGCCTGTAACACAGAAATGATATGTTCCTCCTTCACCAAGCTGTCACAAGGCTCAAGGCTTGATGGTTTCAAAACTGGCTGAAGATCTCAGAGAAAAAGGGCTGTGTAAGAAAGAGCATATGCTATGGATCCCTTTATAGATGCTGCATTACCAAAAGCATTGTATTTATATATTTCAAAACTGGGCACTGGGTTACATTTTCATTCCCAGTACAAAGGCAAATACATTCCAAACAAAGCAATGTTTTTTCAACAAAGCAAGGGTTGAAATCTCTCCAGGGCTTCATTTTGTCTCATTTAGATCGGGCATAAGATCTTAAAGCAGAGTTTAGTGGTCGGCTGATCATGTTCCTCTGGGAAACGACAGAGTGGTAATTCGAAAAGGGTAGTGAAGTACAGCATTGTCTTGGTCTGCAGGACTGTTCTTCAATAAAACCAGCGGCTCACCCGGCTTACAGGAGAACATTTTGTTCCAAAGGAGCTGTGACTCTTCATTAAACAAAAGAATTCACCTCCGGCTAGACTTGGGTGTAAAATGAAAATGTTATTGGAGACAAAATGTCTTTGTGGAGACAGCATTTCCATGATGCCTGCCATGATTGCCTGGACATATCTAGCAGTTGAAATGAAAGTTGGGCAGAAAGGTATCTCTCCAAGGCACCGACTTCACACATGTTAAAAACTTCATTCAGACTTGGAGGTGGTTTCAGTTCAGGCCAGGAGCCCTGAGGAGGGGAATAAGCAGTCTGGGTCCCATCTGGCCATGGACTGGCACTCACCCACTCTGGAGCGAGGACCCAGATTCAATCATGAGAGAGTCGAATCTTTCAGGACTTTCCTGAAAGCTTTTCCTTGGAGTAAACAAGTTCTCCCACATCTGAGATTGGGAAAGAATCCCGGGGTATCTAAGTACAAAAAATTATGAGATATCCCTCCTCCCCTCTGACTCTCTTGACACACTCGGGAAAGTTCACAAACAGCAAAGATGCAATACGGTCATTCAGGGAAATAATTCATGTCCAGACTGGCATAACTCAGGTGTTCAGATATGATTGTCTCCCATCTGGATCAACTCTGTAGGAAAGATATAGTGTATGTGGTTCTTCAATGTATGAAAATGAGAAAAAGCACTTCAGGCTGTGCAGGTTCCGGGGATTTTCATTACAAGATTATTTTGACACCATCCCTCTGAGGATGAAACATACTGAGAAATATATACAAAATTAATAAATTCCGTGAGTTAGTTCCTACTTTTCTCGTATGCTTAAGACAAGATCATTTCCTTGTCATCTTCAGATCACCTAGGGTGATCTCTTTATTGTAAAGCCTAAATGTCCACCTTTAGCTTGATGAGCAGGTTTTGGCCTGCAGACTCTTAGCAAGTGCAACAGCCAAACTAATCTTGCAGAGACACTCTGTTGGCCTCCTACTCAACATCTCCCTTTTTCACTCAAACATTGCACACCAAGGAGGTCCAACAGCCTTGGTTCTGCTCAAGATGGGACAAGATATGTCCCACACTTTTTTTCATTATCTCTTGCCTCTAAGTACTGACTTTCCAGAGCTTGAGAAATGGTACAAGATAAGGACTTAATGTGCGCTGACAGCCAAGAAAGTCAACTGTATCCTGGGCTGCACCAAAAAAACGTGTGGCCGGCAGACTGAGGAAGGTGATTCTGCCCCTCTACTCTGAGTTCCTGCCTGGAGTACTGCATTCAGCTCTAGAATCCCCAATATAAGAAGGACATGGAGCTGCTGGAGCAAGTCCAGAGGAGGGCCACAAAGATGATCCGAGGGCTGGAGCACCTCTGCTATGAAGACAGGTTGAGACAGTTGGGGCTGTTCAGCCTCGGGAAGAGAAGGCTTTGGGAAGACCTCATAGCAGCCTTCCAGTACCTAAAGGGGACCTAAAAGAAAGCTGGAGAGGGACTTTTTACAAGGGTGTGTAGTAATAGGACGAGGGGCAATGGCTTTAAACTGAAAGAGGGTAGATTTTTATTAGAGATGAAGAAGAAATTCTTCCTTCTGAGGGTGGTGAGGCACTGGAACACGTTGCCCAGAGAAGCTGTGGCTGTCCCATCCCTGGAAGTGTTCAAGGTCAAGTTGGATGAGGCTTTGAGCAACCGTATTTAGTGGCAGATGTCCCTGCCCATGGCAGAAGGGTTGGAACTAGATGATCTTTAAGGTCCCTTCCAACCCAAACTATTCTGTGACTGCTGGAGCATTGGTCTGCTATGGTACACAATTCTTGCATAGACCCTAAGGCTTAGCAAAAACCTTGTGCTGGAACAGTCAGATAGTGAATACCCAGGGAAAGGCATAGACACTGTGACTCAGCGGGGAACACTGCTGTGACAAGCGTTTGTGAGGGACAATTCTATGTAAAGCATAACATGGCAGAAGTTTAGGATAACCAGCTTGGATGTAGTTTGTTGCATTAATCAACCCAAGAAGAGCCATGCTGTGTAGGAAACAGAGGCCTGTCCTCTGCTGGTGGAGCAATGTCCTTGCTGGACACTCTGTAGGAGCTTGAAATCTCATTGACTCATGTGTACTGAATTTCCAGACTTGACTCACTGGCTACTAAAACCATAAGATTGCATGGTGTGTCTCGTATTTTTCCTGGAAAAAAAGAGCAGGTTAATATAACTATATTTGGTTAATTAACATCTGAATCTGTTTTGAAATCTCCAGAGCATATATGCAAAGAAATTAAACTAATCTCAGACCAGGAAAAAAAAATAATCAAAATTTCTGGATCTTCAGGATTTGTTTCTATAATGTCCCTGGTTACCTCATCCTTTGGGCTAAAGGCAAAAGATACACATCCTGTCTTCTCTTTTGTATCTCTTAGTACCTACTGAATTTCATGTGATCATGGGCTGTGACTGACTCTAGGGCTGTGTGTGGCAGGAAGTGCTATTGAGAAAGGTACAAAGAGTAGATACACAAGTGGGTTTAGAGAAAATGCTATCTGGCTGATAAGCATAAAAAATCTGCCGTGTAAATGGAAAAACTTCCTCACACAGTGCGAAACAAACCTGAGAAACTCATTACTATAGGAGTTAATTGAAATTAAAACCTTGCTGAAGAAGAAGAAAAAAGAGGAAGAAAAAAAGAAAAGAAGAAAAAAGAAAAGAATAAAAGGAAAAAAAGAAAAAAAAAAGAAAAATAAACAGAAAAAAGAAAAATACTTCAAAAACAGATGGGATGTTTGCAAAGTTAATAAGAGCATCATAAGGACATTTAGAAACACAATAGTACTGATTAAGGAAATAAGACTCTCAGAAAAATTAAACATGTTGGAAAGGCTATCTCCTTCAAGACAGGAAAAAGTTTTTGGTGCAGCTAATGGCCAGATTCAAAGAGGTAACTAAGCATCAGCTCTACTTGCTGTTGTAGTCCATACAGTTGCAGTCCATTTTGAGCCTGAT